AAGCCAGTAGGGCAAATACTAACTATTGTTTTCTAATTTTTAGGAGAGGTAGTCTCATTTGTATCCGCAATCTAGTTTTTTCTGAGCTCAAAAAAGCGATAATATAAATCCTCGTTTAGAAAACTAAGAAAAAATTGCATGCAGGTACACAAAACATACGCCACGGACTCATCAGCTTGCAAGTTGATCTTCTCTTTTGAAGATCCTTGATCTTAAACAAACAAACTTCAGCTTTAACCTCATGGTTATCTTCAAATATTATGGAAAAAACATTGTAAAACTTTTTTTGCAAAGATGTTATATCTATTGTTCTGACCACCGTAGGTGAAAATAATTTTGAATTTGGTTGTTTTTTTTCACGCAAATTCTGATTTCACAAAAACTTTTCAATTGGGTGCAAACAATAAACCATTTCATTGGTTTTTCCTCGTAATGCGAATGCCGAATTCTGAAAAAAAACTGGGTATTGAGAAAAAAAGTTTTGCTTAATTCATGAGCTCAAAATGAAGAGTGAAATATGAAATTATCTTTTTCCAATTTTTTTCAGTACTCTCAAAACTGATTTCAATAAATCAAATTTGAAACAGTTGAACTTTTCTACCATAAGCAAGCATTCTATAAGAAGCAAGACATTTTCCTTGGGGTTCAAGTTATCACCTCCGCCATCCAATTTTCCCTGCAACTATAAAAATTGAAAGTCACCCTTTTAGTATGTAAATCTTTAAAACGACCTATTAATTATAAAAACATTTTTTATCATTTTGGCATATGCCCTGATAAATCAAGTTTACCTTTAAAAACCTAAAAACGTTCCAATTGAAGCATCATTCATATTGTTTGTGCTTGTTTATGGCTAAACTATAAAGTAACGAAATATTTGTGCTCGGGTGGGTTTTTTTCAGACAAATTTCGACTTTTTAACTAGCCATTTTTGACGGAATTTTTTAAATCATTCAAAAGTTATTGTTATCCTGAGCTTAAATTTGAAAAGATATTCCACCTGTGATCTTTTTTCGTAAAATTATGGGGGTTTAAAGATGGCCATTTTGGCCAATTTGGAACAATTAACGCGCAATATATTTCGCGGGTGGCGTCCCTCATGCTTGAAGGACCGAATGCTTGAAATTAATTTTAGCTTGCTTTCAGCCAATCAGAATTGAGTATTCAAAATCTATAAATAAATCGCGAAAATCTCAAAGAAAGAAAATAAATCCAGGCCATTAGTGTTAATATTGGCCGATTAGATAATAAGCAGATGAGTTTTCACATATTGCCGGACCGGAGGCGGATTGGAACAAATTTAATATTTCAAGGATACCGATTTATGAAAAGTGGAAAATCAAAAAAGAAAATTTATTATAGATGCACGAATTGCTCCGCAAAACTTTCAACTAATATTCAGCAAAATTCAATATTATCTTACGACGAAAATCATCCTCATGACCCAGACTTTGAATTTATTTCCGAAAGTTATTTCCGAATATATTCCGAGAGTTATGTTTTGACTTATTACGACAAAATCCAACAGTCAGTTTAAAACAAATTTACGAAAAAGCTATCGAAAACACCCAAAATTCTCAATTTTTGCCGCCAGAATATCGGAAAATCAAGAGCAGCTTATCGCGTGAAAGAAAGAAATGTTTGCCGGCCGTCCCCCTAAATTTTTTAGAAGTAAGAATCAAAGGAATTTGGGCAGTTTCTGCAGAAAATGAAAAATTTTTGCCTGATTTGAACAAAGCTATCGGAGTTGCAATTTTTGGTACTGAGAAATCTCTCGAATTTCTGCTGAAAACTGACACAATTTTATGCGACGGAACCTTTAAAATGGCCCCAAAGCCCTACGACCAAATTTACACTTTTTTTGTAGTGATTGGCGAGAGAAAAATACCAGTGTGCTGGGCCCTATTGAAAGGCAAACAACAAAGTCAGTACGAATATATCCTCCAAAAATTACAGGAGAAAATTTTCGAAAAAATTGGGATTTTTTTATCCTGAAACCATAATTTCCAATTTCGAACTCGGTTTTATTGCTGCAGTTATTAATGTCTTACCATACACTATTCATTATGGCTGCTACTTTCATTACACCCAAGCGATTTACCGAAAACTTCAAATCATGGGATTCACTCAAATTCACAAAAAAAAACACAAATTTCCAAAATTTTGCGCGAAAAATTTTCGCCTTGGGATTTGTTCCACCTAATTTAGTGGTCAGTTATTACCATCGATTTGTTGGACGCCAAGATATACAGGTACTTGTCAATTGTTCCCCAAAATTACGAGATTTTTTGAATTATTTTCAAAATTTTTGGATAAAAAAAATGAAGATTGGAATGTGGAATGTTTATAATAGACCCTATAATTTACGAACAACCAATATTTGCGAAAGCTGGCATTCAAGCTGGAATCGTGAAATAGCCAGGATCAGACCGTCATTTTGGACAATAATTTACTATTTGAAAATCCAAGAAAAACGAATGCGTTTAGTTTTTGGCCGGATCGAAAAGGGCGAAAAACCTCCGGCTCAAAAATTTAAGTGGCGTCAGTTGAACGCCAAAATTCGAAGACTGGGAAACTCTTATGAACTTGAACTGATAACTCTTGATGTTTATCTGAATAATATTGCGGTTGTTACCCACAATTTGTAATATTTTTGATTATTTTCTACTGATTAATACATTTTCTGTTAATATTGACTTCGATTTTGTGGTAGAGGCATTTAGCCAATAAGAACGATTAGCGATTTTGATTGGTTGAAATTTTTCAAGCATTCGGTCCTTCAAGCATGAGAACCCTCCCCCATTTCGCGCTATTACCGCGTAAGCGGAGATTCAATTCGTCTTAGAAATCGTTCCAAGTCGGTTGAAGCAGGCTATTGGCCATAATAGCTTTGTTACTAGGAGCGAAATCTATCATTTTGTACTTTATATGGCGCGTGGGATGAGGATTTTCGCAGAAACTTTTTTTCATTTAATTTATTACTTTCACTTTGTGCATGCTTTCGCTTTGGGTGAATTTTCAGATTTTTTTCTAGAATAATTTCTAATTACAGTTGTAGAACGCAGATCGAACCTATCGAGCTGAATATTCCAGTGCGCTACGCACTGTTCTGAAGGTGCTTCGCTTCTATGTGAACTGCTCGCTTATAAACTCAATGAGTTTATCTATGACGCTCAAAGCATAAAAAAATGTTCCGAGTTGAATTCAGGCCTTTTGATTGGTTATGATTTTGTATTATATGACTCAAGTTGTAGCTGTTTTTATCTGATAGCAGCTATCCAAAATGTATCAATCTTATATTTTTCTATAGTCAAAACCAAAACTATCGGAGTTCATTGAAATGTCAGTCTGAATATTCAGTGGTTTTCTCTTATAGACGGGGCTAAGTTTTTTTCCAGACCGACTTTTCACCAGACCACAATAAAAAAGACTCACTTAAGATAAGATCAATTTAATCAAAGATTTGAAAAGAAAGCGGATAGAACAAACAAAACTTCGCTGAGAAACCATGAAATCAATTTCTGTAACCAGACTGATTGGCGTCATTACATCTGTCAATCAAATTTGTTTATCGAGTCTGGTGAAAGGTTCATGTTATAACTTTTCTGGTAAAAAGTAGGTCTCGTAAAAGGTCGGTGGATCAATTGAGCAATCTTCCCCCCCCCCCCCCCATTCTCGCGTGGGGGGAGATAGCTCAATAGATACTTCAGACATGTTTATAACCACTTGAAAATAGTTTGAATGATATGATAATATGAACGAGATTCTCCAACGAATATGGAACGCCAACTTTTACAATATCAAAGCTCAAAAATTACATTCAGAGTGAAAACAAAATCAATAAAACTGAGGCACATAAAGCGACTTTTTTCTGTCCTAAATGAAAAAAGCTATTGCGTACAATAGTAAGGTGCTGAAGAGAGCTTTTTTGGTATTCAGATACTAGTTCAGAGCACTAAGCGTGATACTCGTTTTCCTCAATGAGAGGCAGGAGTCGCCCAAACAAAATTTTTCAAATTAATTTTTTTTCTTCAATTTTTCGATTTTTTCTTTTTCAAAATTTTTCTCGATACTCTTATAAAATTAACTTCAGTCGATCAATTGATTGCGTGCCATAAACACATCAACCATCTAATTGCGTTTGTTGGCGCCTTTTTGTGGTGTCTTAGTTTTTGCTTGGGGGGAGATAGCTCAATTGGTCAATACGGGGGGGAGGTTGCTCAATTGATCCAGGTCGGTCACCCTGATAGACGAGCAGTCATGGTTAACTCCGCTCGTAAAACTTTTAAACTTGAGAAGTAGAGATCAACCTTATTATCTCCTCTTCTGAGTGGCCAACCGTAGAATGTCCACCCCAGCCACGTATTAATTTTGAAAATTAAGTTTGTATAAAGTATGGTTTTTCAAACAAACGCACAAATACAATTTGTTTTTAGCAGTATTTATTCAGGATTGCTTTCGAATGCTGTTAATAACCTAAATTTTTGTGTTTTCAACCTTTTTTTAAAATAAAATTAATAATTTAGTATAAATCTGGGCTGCACTTGAATCCATATTATCTCTAAAAGGAGAATTTTCATAGTTGATCTAAAAGTTTGTCTAGAGGATATGATCGAGTTTTATACAAATAATTTTATATTTTTCAACATGCGGTTTAATTTTGTAAGTTGAAAAATGGGTAGAATTTCAAAAAATGCTGCCTTGAGAAACAAATGGGACAAGTCTAATCATTTGAAAGACATGAGCTGCCTTATTTTCGTTATTTTCTGCACAATTATTTTTTTCAATGTTTCCATTCGTGCTTTTTATGTCGCAGGCAACGTTTTGGCATAATAGAATAAGCGTTTTCTAAGGAGTTTTCAGTGGAAAGATTTTCATTATCATAAACAATCTTTTTTGCTTAATTGCGTAGAAACTGGATATTCTTATAAAGTATTTATTATTTCAGTACCTGTTGGGTCAGACTACCTACCTGTCTGCAATGGTAATCAACTACGGGTGTCTGGTGGCTGTGTATCGCAACTGTGGGGAGTCCGTCAGCTCCAAAGTTGAGACTATAGTACTCATTATTGTGCTCACCTTTCAATTCAGTCTCCATGCCTACCTTCTCAACAGGTATGCATATTCTCTTCCATCTGTTACACCAAAACAATATTTTTTCAAATGTATTTTGATAGCCATGTCGAATGATCATTTCGGAGAATGAATTAAGACTGGCCGTATCAGGGTGAAGTCTAGAACGTTCCTAACTTTGATTTTGGATGCCTTGACTTCTCTTTAATGCCTATATTGTAGTTTATTGTAGTAGTATGTTATTTTGTATACATATTATCTTAGGACAGTGCTGATTAAAATTATCCGGAAAAAATGAATAAAACTTGAATTTTCAAAAACGTTTTACTCAAATTGGGTTCAGATTAGACAAAAAATGAACAGGACAAAAGTTACTTAGAATTCCATCAGAATTAATATGAAGCAATTTTTTCTGCGAAATTCTCAACCAAAGTTTTACCATAAAAATGGGTCACTTTGGCTTTTTTCAATTAATCAAGAATTACGCTGAAACTACTTTATTAATTGATGAGGAATATATATCACAAGAAGCCTACACACAGCCCAACAAAGTTGTAGAATGTTTAAGTCTCCAAAAACCAGTATAAGAGAAAATATTTTTGCTTGATATTCAAGAAACGTGATTTTTACTATATAAACCCAAAATCTTTGATTAAAAGCAAATTTTAAACAATTTACTCACATTTTTGGAGATTTAACCCTTCTAGAACTTTTTTGGGTTGTGTAAGTGGCTTCTTGTGATTTATATTTCTCATCAATTAACACAGTAGTTTCAGCTTAATTCTTAATTTATTGGAAAAATTCAAAATGACCCATTTTTGGGGTAAAATTTTGGTTGAGAATTTCGGAGAAAAAATTGCACCATAATAATTCTGATAGAATTCTAAACAAGTTTTCTTCTGTTCACTTTTTGTCTTATCCTAGCCCCATTCGAGAAAAACGTGTTTGAAAATTTAAGTTTTTGTTCATTTTGTCCGGATAATTTAAATCAGCACTGTAGTAGTCTTTGTATAGTAGTGCATTATGTTTTTAGTAAAAATAAAAAAAATGACGAAATTTTTAGAAGAACATTTTATAAACTTATGTTAATCTTAAAAAAATGCAAATTTTTTTTACTGCTCTCTTTTAGAAGTAAACTACAAAGTAATGTATTGAGCGTCCAGTTACGTTTTTATAGAACTAAATGGCCTACCTCGAGGCAATTTCGAAAAATACGCCCATCATTTTTGTTCCTTGAGTAGTGACGAGAAAACTGTTAAAGTTCCAGAAAAAACACGTTCAAGAAAAAACTCTACATGTTTGAAACACTACTAGTTAAGTTACAAATGCTTAGAATGATTTTTAATGATAACACAAAAAAGAAATCACAAAAAATTGCGTCGTTTTACGAATAAGCCAGTGTAAATAGTTTGTCACAATATAGAATCAGTTTTGAGCCTAATTTTTGTTAGCTGCTTCTTCTTTCCGTTGATATAAACTTTTTAAAAATTATTCCCTTGTTGCGTCAATACAAACCAAGAAAATAAAAATGGGTCAGAGAAAAAATTGATTTTGTAAAACCTATTTTTTCTTTAGGAACCAAACCGTCAAAAAAAATTATAAGCTTGACTAGCATAGATAATTCAATTTCGTTTTTTGGTTCAAAAGTTGTTCAAAGGATAAGTTAAATAAGATGCTCGTCTCAAAATGAAACTCCGAACTTTGTTTATTGCGTGTTTTTTGTTGAAAACAATTAAATATTGTTCCCACTCGCAATGTCAATTAACAATAAAAAAATTTACGTCTAATGCATCAACTTTTAGAGACAATTGGCTACCCTCAAATTCATAAGGAAAAGATGCTATTCACATTACTATCACAAATCGTAATAGTACGTCAGAGTACGCGAAGAAGAAGAATTTTTATTTTTAACACTGGTTTTTCGTAAGGCATGCTCACTGCTAGAAAAACTGACATGCACACAAAACTTCAAAAAGCAATCAACTTGGGACTAACAGATTGAAAAATCACCGACGCATTAGTGGACGATATATTGTCACTTACACAAGACTTAGAGGAAACGCACGTAAGAAAAAGTAAACACAGTTCTACAAAAATAAACGCAGCAAATCTAACAACACCACAAGATAAATTTAAGTTTGCATGGAAAAAATTTAGAGTATCCCGGCTATAAATCAATAGCGATGGAAAAAGACCACTATTCAGTAAAACTGATGCAAGTAAGAAAGATGACAACACCAAAAATTTTTGAAGAACTAAATACTTTTATCGGCTCATTTCACTATTTGCAAAATTCATTGCACAGTTAGCTCAATTAGCAGCCCAATTAAGAACAGTTCTAAGCAAAACACAAAAAAAAAACATGAAAAAAATATATCATTTGATTGAAAAACAGAACACAGCATTACAGTTAAAAATGTAAGAAACAATTAAAAATCTGAAATGAATGGAAACTAAAATTGTAATCAAACCCTCGAGAAGCGTTAGATAACGGAAAACTAAATAGCAATTGCAAACGCATCCAGATTTTTGACTTCATGAGATGACATATTTTTTCTACACGAATTTGAATGTTGATTTTATTAAATTAAAAAGTTTTGGTAAACTAGAATTGTCGTCACTAAGAATCTCGTCACAGCAACGATCAAGGTCAAAACTTGAAACCGATCATTGGAAAAATTTATTCCCCACGAGAAACCACAGACTAAGATTCAAACACTAAACTGCAGACTGCCATTAATGCGCACGGACATAAACAGAACATTTATATCAGCTTCAAATATAGCGGAGATAATCGAATCACATAGAATCGCTCCACGTGGAGTAATTAAAAAATCATCGTTCGAAGCCAGCATGTGTCGAAAACCACACGCCGAAGTTTCTAACATAGCAACCACAAGTTCATCTAAACGGGAAAATGCAAAACAAGCGTGCTTAAATGGGAACAAGACTGCAAGACTGAACAAAACAACTGAGCACCAAGTAACACTATGCGGCTTATCCCGAGCGTGAATTGGCACAGGGCATGTTGCCCGCTTAATTAAACTAATGCTGAACCTGATCTGTGCGATGGTGCTAAAGGAAACTTAGTCTTTCTTTACACAAAAAATTGCTAAGGTCACCTATTCTTAATCGAAAGGTCGGAGGCTCGAGGTCCACCATTTTTAGTCGTTACTTGCCGTTTTGCTCGTTACCTGAAACTTTCGTCATCGGAAGTAGACTGTGAGCGCCGTCGTTTCGTTTTTTCACTTCAGTGTTTTTTCAACTGCCTTAAGAAACAGTTTTGTAGGTAGTTTTTATTGAAAATAAAAAGACATTTCAGAAGAAGATTGTTTGGCAAATATCAAGTTAAGTCAAATGAAGAAGTTTTATTCCAATATTTCCCAGAAAATCTTGATAAATAATTAAGCCAGTAGGGCAAATACTAACTATTGTTTTCTAATTTTTAGGAGAGGTAGTCTCATTTGTATCCGCAATCCAGTTTTTTCTGAGCTCCCAAGTGCGATAATATAAATCCTCGTTTAGAAAACTAAGAAAAAATTGCATGCAGGTACACAAAACATACGCCACGGACTCATCAGCTTGCAAGTTGATCTTCTCTTTTGAAGATCCTTGATCTTAAACAAACAAACTTCAGCTTTAACCTCATGGTTATCTTCAAATATTATGGAAAAAACATTGTAAAACGTTTTTTGCAAAGATGTTATATCTATTGTTCTGACCACCGTAGGTGAAAATAATTTTGAATTTGGTTGTTTTTTTTTCACGCAAATTCTGATTTCACAAAAACTTTTCAATTGGGTGCAAACAATAAACCATTTCATTGGTTTTTCCTCGTAATGCGAATGCCGCATTCTGAAAAAAAACTGGGTATTGAGAAAAAATTTTTTGCTTACTTCATGAGCTCAAAATGAAGAGTGCAATATGAAATTATCTTTTTCCAGTTCTTTTCAGTACTCTCAAAACTGATTTCAATAAATCAAATTTGAAACAGTTGAACTTTTCTACCATAAGCAAGCATTCTATAAGAAACAGGACATTTTCCTTGGGGTTCAAGTTATCACCTCCGCCATCCAATTTTCCCTGCAACTATAAAAATTGAAAGTCACCCTTTTAGTATGTAAAATTTTTAAAACGACCTATTAATTATAAAAACATTTTTTATCAGTTTAGCATATGCCCTGATAAATCAAGTTTGCCTTTAAAAACATAACAAGACTGCTCGTATCAGGGCGAAGCCCTGAATGTTCCGACTGCCCTTTAAGTTTTATGGAGCAGCAGTAATAACATAAAAAAATTAAATTAAATAAAATAAAATGAAAATTTTTTTTTCTAAAATTTGAAAATTTTTATGAAAATCATCGCCCCACACGCCATATAAAGTACAAAAAGAGAAATTTCGTTCGTTGTAACAAATCAATTGTGGCAAATAAGCTTCGTTCAACCAATTTGGAACGATTTATAAGACGGATTAAACCTCCGCTTACGCGTTAATAGCGCGAATTATATCGCGCGTTAATTGTCCGAAATTGGTCAAAATGGCCAAAATGGCAATCTTTAAACCCTCATAACTTTACGAAAAATGATCACAGGTGAAATATTTTTTCAAATTTGAGCTCAAGACAACAATACCTTTTGAATGATATAAAAAAATTCAGTCAAAAATGGCTAGTTAAAAAGTCGAAATTTGTCTGAAGAAAAAAAACCCACCCCGAGCACAAATATTCCGTTACTTTCGTATCAAAAGTCGGAACAAAAACGTTCCAATTGAAGCATCATTCAGATTGTTTGTGCTTGCTTATAGCTTAATTATACCAGAAATACAGTCCAAACTACAACAAAAACAACAAGTACAACAAAAGAAAGGTGTGAAAACTGGACAAATAATAGCTGAGGAAATAGAGACACTTGCCAAAAACAGAAATGGTGTATAGACAGTCTGGACATAGCGGGTTTGCTTTCGTTTCTTATCGAAAAACCTACGGGCCAAGCAGGCCCTCGAGGCTAAGCGACTAAGTTAATTTGCATTTAAATCCGCAGAGAGAACACGACCATGGTTACGTTTTTTGGTCTTGAGCAATCAAATTTACCAATTCACCCGATGTTCGAAGAAGAGAAAGAAACGGGTCTGCTCAAATATTGACAAGCAATGAGTAAAGCGAGCTACACGAGAACCCACAAAAGCAGGCCTTCAAAATCTCGGCGTCGAATCTCGGGTTGGATACAAGAAAAAAATACTAATACAAATGGCAGTCAATACAACTAAAAACTACTTTAAAAGGGCTATCAGCTCTCAAGGGGGGGCGGCTTAATTAAAATCATTGAGAAAAAAGGGAAACATTTTGCTTTTTGCATAATTTTTTATTTGAATGAAAAATTAAAACTTAGGTCCCACTTGCAATGTCAAGTACCAAGCAAAAAACATGCATCTAATAAAACAACGTTTGGAAAAAATTGGCTAGCCTCAATTCATTTAGAAATGACGCCAGCCAGACTATTGTGACGACCACAATTCTTTTCAACAGAAAGCTGAAAAACTCTCACGCATTTCAATTCTCTCAAAATAAAACTGTTCAAATCACCATTTTCAAGCAAAAAGTATCTGATATTTTTATACCCATGACAAACAACACATAATTATCATCCCGTTGGATAGTGCAAACTTCAGATCGTTGAAAAAAATATATTACCCTCAAAAATAGTATATATTGGGGCCGAAGGCACTTTTAAAAAGTTTTTGGGTCAGCCAGCCACAAATGAAGCTCTAAAAATAGTACCAAATAGTACCAAGTACTACCTTTTGGATAAACAGGTGGTCGAATATCCGAAGGGGGGAGGAGAACGTCCGCCCAAACTCCCCTAAATCCACTACTGACGGAGACCCAACTTTACCAAAGTTTCCTCAGATGAAGTCTTTCGAAAAATTTTCGGCTGGTCGATCAAAGTGGATATCAAAATGAGCTCTTTTCACGTTCCCCCACATTTGATTTTTATTTCGAAAAATCAATTTTACGTTGTCAAAATGTAATGAAACTTTGCACGGTGACCAAACGTATTATTGTGAACATATGTGTTCCAGTTACATGTCAGCTGACATCCACCCATTCAAAATCCACTTCTCTACATCATAATTGTTCCGACTTTCGATACGAAAGTAACGGAATATTTATGCTCAGGGTGGATTTTTTTTTCTTCAGACAAATTTCGACTTTTTAACTAGCCTTTTTTGACGGAACTTTTTTTTATCATTCGAAAGGTATTGTTGTCCTGAGCTCAAATTTGAAAAGATATTTCACCTGTGATCATTTTTCGTAAGGTTACGGGGGTTTAAAGATTGCCATTTTGGCCAATTTGGGACAATTAACGCGCGATATATTTCGCGCTATTAACGCGTAAGCGGAGAGTTAATCCGTCTTAAAAATCGTTCCAAACTGGTTAAAAGAAGCTTATTTGCCATAATTTGTTTGTTACAAGGAGCGAAATCTATCTTTTTGTACTTTATATGGCGTGTGGGGGGTTGATTTTCATTAAAAAAAATCCACATTTTAGAAAAAAAAAATTTCTTTTGTTTTATTTCATTGAACTTTTGAATGTTATTACTGCTCCATAAACCTCAAAAGGCAGTCGAAACGTTCAGGGCTTCGCCCTGAAACGAGCAGTCTTGTTATCATTAATTTTCAACATAATCTCTGCCTGATGTTTTTCATATTGTTTTTTCTTGGTGGAATCCCTCATAAGCGAAGGACCGAATGAGCAAAAACAAAAATCAACCAATCAGATATCAGTAATTCAAAGTTTTCAGAAATTCAGTAGAAAAAGCGAGAAAATTTGATAGAAAGTAAGCATTTCCAGGGACTTAATATTAATTTTGGACGAATATAAAAACGTCAGAAATATGCAAAATTTTGAAATTGTCACTGATCGCTGGTAAATTTGAACCAATTTTGTAATTCAAAGATTTTGTTATAAAAGAAGCAAATATTGCTTCATTTAATTCCTTTTAGTTGAACAGCAATCGATTTATTCTAATAATTGACATTCGGTTGTTTTTGTTTTCGGTCCTTCGCCCATGAGTTTTTCCGCCTGTTCGGTCCTTCCCCAAGAAAATAGCCCTTTTTTATTTTTCAGGTTTTTTACTCGAAGAGGAAAAGCAAAACATTTTATTAATGAGTGCGAAAGACGTTACGAAGTGGAAGTGAAGAGCATCCTCTCTCAAGGTCCTCGACGAAAGTTCTCGACTTTTAGCGAGAAAGCCAACAGGACTTTTGTCAATGACTCGTTTAGCGTCGGAAGTGCAACCAACATTGCCCGGCCGTCATTAAGCAGTTACATAGAGTCGTCACTATCTCGTACTCAATCTCAAAGCCAGTATGAAACGATTAGCGAAGGAGTGACAATGCAAATGGGACTTGATTCGGACAAAGTTGAAAATGGAACTAACGCAGTGAACAAAAGTGTAAGATTTCCCATTGTGTCTGATGAAAGAGAGTACCAATGAACATTTGAGAAGTATTGCATTCGCACCAAAATATTTGTTAAGTCATCACTTCTATTTTGGGGTCCTTTGATTTATTCCGCCCAAATTTTGTAATTTGTGAAGTCAATGTATAACTGGTCGTTATAAAAGTAGTAATCATTCTAATACCAATTCACAGATTTTTAGTTAAGCATGCCAATTTGAGCCAAAAAGAAGGTGGAAGAAATGTTTTCCCTTTTGAACTTATTTCCTGATTTTCTAGCCAGGACCAGAATCATCAGGCGATTTGAGTTTAATGTGAATATTTTACACAAAAAACTAAACTTTTGGTTTATTTGGCTAATTTATTTTGGTTGCTAAAAATTATGAACAGAATATTTTGAAGTGCCACTTGAATCTGATTGGCTACTTTCAATACATCAAATTCAAGCATAAAAGTTTCAGTCTAAGAGTATCAATTAAAAATTTTCCGCCAAAAACGAATTTCCGGATAGCCCAATAAAATTTTAAAAATCTTGGTATAGTTATTAACAACCGAAACAACATAAGACTATAAGGCAAATTCGTCACAAAATTCGAACTTCTTTCATTGGAACAATTAAAATATCTTTTTTTGTTATCAAAACTATGAAAGAAAAAATACTAGAGACCACAAACAATTTGATTGTGTAGCAGCTTTGCTTTCATGGAATTAGATAGCAAAAAAGTGCAACTCTAAACAGGGGCGGATTTTTTTTTGAAAAAACAGGCCAAAAAAGGCGGTTTTAGGCACTTTTTGGAAAACTTTGACCAAAAAGTTGCGTTTATTGGGAGCGCGCTCTTCCCTCAAAAATAGTCCCGAAGTCCCCCATCGAAAAGTTTTAGGGTCAGTGAGCCAGAAATGGATGTCTCATAATAGTTCAAAGGGGGAAATTTGGGTCGGCAGGGGGTCGAATCCCTGAGGGGAGCGTCTCCCTCCCCCTAAATCCGCTGGTGAGTACTAAATAAACATCAATCCCCTGGTCGAGGTACAGTCGTGCCAAATATGGTCATGCGAAGGGATTCTGCGAATTTTACAAATCCATTTATAAATTGAGTCGGGCAAAGTGTGATCACTGCCTAAATTTATGAGAGGTTACGTGTTTATTTTGAGTTTGGAACTCTTTCTTACTGAAACATCCATTTTTCATGCTTATAATTAATTTTTGTAAAATTTTTTGATTTGATTGGTGTTTCAACGGCTATCACAAGCCATACGCAAGTCGAGAACATGAAGTAACATATCGGGTGAGTAAGTAATAAGATCTGATATGTATATAGGGTCATAAGATATAATTAAACAGACTTAAGAACCTTCAATTTACTTGTTTTGAATCCTCGATCTTTCAGTTTTTGCAAAATTTTGGTCTGGTCAGACCTCATGCCGGCTTGATTTCAGGAATCAGTCTCAAATGCCATTATAAAGAAGACATTGTCAAATTTTCATCGGCTATTCAGGAACAAAATTTTTTTGTCTATCCGGGAGAAAAAAACAATTTTCGGCAATCCGATAACATTTTTTTTCTGCTCTCCGGGTACACATTTTTTGGTTATCTAGGTTTAACTCTTTAAATGAGGAGTCAAAATCAATTGCAGATTTGTTGTTTACGTTAAAACACCCTTGGCTGGGAAAAAATAATTGCGACAAAATTCAGAACTTTTTTTTTGAAAAATATCATTTTTTCGAACTTTCTCGACAATTTTTTAATTTCTCGGCTTACCTGTCCATAGAAGTCTATACCCAGAACCATCTCAGGAGCCAGACTTGGCTAGAGGAAAAAACAAGGTCGAAGTCTTACGAGGATTGCCCTGGCTTTCCTGGATCAGTCTAAGAGTCCAGGGCTGGTTTTCAAAGAATTTTGCTAAAAAACAAGGCCAAAATCCCAGGCAAAATTTAGAATCGGTAAATGCCTGCAAACCTAAAAATGCCTAAAAACTATGAAAAGGGTCTCGAGCGAGCTCACATAAGCAGGCAGCCAACAGACAGGTATACAATTTTTGGTGTCGCAGACGAAATACTTTCCCTCCCATAACAGCCAGTGAGCAAGCAAGAAAGAACACAAGAAAACACAATGATACTTATTATTTGATTTTTGATTTGATAGCAAACCTCTCTGATGCATTGATTTTTTTCTGATGTGTTATTGAGAGAAAATAGCAAAAAAAAACATTTTTAAGAGATTCTGTGGGGGTTGAGAAAAGTAGCCAGTGTAGTTTTTGCCCAAGTTTATTCTTGCTCAAGCCTTCCGTACTTCTAGGTGTTCTGTACAGTACACATGTGAATAGTCAATTGTAATTTTTTTTCATGCAGATCAGTTTTAACTTGACTAAGTGTTTTCTCAGAGAAAATTCGTTTGACAAACAATAGATAACAAGGCACAGGGACCGGCATGCCCATGTAAAAGAATTTTACAGAAAATCTATTACACGTTCTGCTTACACAAACTTTCAACTTCAAACAGCGTGCACCAAGCCAAATTTTTAATCAAGTGATTTCCAAATTTATTAGAAAGTTGAGTCTAATATACTTTTGGTCTAATAGCACACGCATTTAAAGCAATTATCGCATGCTAACCGCTACATCCTCACGGTGCGAGTATCCGTGGCACATCAAATTGCACCAATCTTTCAAGTGGCATTATTCTGCACGATAAAAACTACTAGTGGCGCACGCTTGTTTCTAGCAGATTGGATGCATTGTCGAGAAATGTTATGCATCCAATCTTGAGATTTGTTATTGGATTCCTCGAACAATAGTTAAACCTAGCTTTTAAATTCCGCATTTGCTATATAATAAATCTAGCTAGAGCTCTTAATTGTTAACGCCAGGACTGTTTTAAACAAAACAAGACTGCTCGTATCAGGGCGAAGCCCTGAATGTTCCGACTGCCTTTTAAGGTTTATGGAGCAGCAGTAAAAGCATAAAAAAATGAAATGAAGTAAAATAAAATGAAAATTTTTTCTAAAATTTGAAATTTTTTGTGAAAATCATCCCCCCACATGCCATATAAAGTACAAAAATAGAGATTTCGTTCCTTGTAACAAATCAATTATGGCAAATAAGCTTCGTTCAACCAATTTGGAACGATTTATAAGGCGGATTAAATCTCCGCTTACGCGTTAATAGCGCGAATTATATCGCGCGTTAATTGTCCCAAATTGGTCAAATTGGCAATCTTTAAACCCTCATAACTCTACGAAAAATGATCACAGTTGAAATATCTTTTCAAATTTAAGCTCAGGACAACAGTACCTTTTGAATGATATTAAAAATTTCCGTCAAAAATGGCTAGTTAAAAAGTCGAAATTTGTCTGAAGAAAAAAAAACCCACCCCGAGCACAAATATTCCGTTACTTTTGTATCGAAAGTCGGAACAATAACAATCCTCTAATGCTTGTTATTCCGTCTTTCGATACGAAAGTAACGGAATATTTGTGCTCGGGGTGGGTTTTTTTTTCTTCAGACAAATTTCGACTTTTTAACTAGCCATTTTTGTCGGAATTTTTTTTTATTATTCGAAAGATATTGTTGTCCTGAGCTTAAATTTGAAAAGATATTTCACCTGTGATCATTTTTCGTAAAATTATGAGGGTTTAAAGATTGCCATTTTGGCCAATTTAGAACAATTAACGCGCGATATATTTCGCGCTATTAACGCGTAAGCGGAGATTTAATCCGTCTGAGAAATCGTTCCAAATTGGTTGAACGAAGCTTATTTGCCATAAATTATTTATTAAAAAGAGCGAAATTTATCCTTTTGTATTTCATATGGCGTGTGGGATGATGATTTTAAAAAAAAATCCAATTTAAAAAAAAATTAATTTAATTTTTTTTTATATGTTATAACTGCTCCATAAACCTTAAAAGGCAGTCGGAACATTCAGGGCTTCGCCCTGATACGAGAAGTCTTGTTGAATTTGTTGGGGAATCTGTTTACATGTCCGGAATACGGAATAACAAACTATATTTGCTCATTGCAAAACTGCGAAAAAACTAATATGCTGCAAAATTTACGTTACAGATACTTGTACGCGAAGTGCACGGAAGTTTTTTTATATCAAATCCACTTTGAATGTGTTTAAAAACTTGTCTCTGGAATCCAGGAACATAAAGAAACCAAATTGTGCGCCTATCCAGTAGACAGTTTGGCCTCGTAATGTGAAATATACCCAATTTTGGTCAAGAAAGTCAAATATATGTCGAGCACTTAGTCCGAAATTAGGTTTTTCACAGTCTAACTTCTTTTTTTAAAATTTAGGTAGTTTCAATTATTTTAAAATTAAAGAACTAAGTTAGTTTAAAAAAAGAGAAAAAAATCTGCTCAGCAACAAATATCTACCAAGGAAGTGTTAATCGCAAGGTAAAATATCAGGGAGAACATTTCGAAAATTTGAGATGCAAGAGTTTTAGGGTAGAAGAAAAAGAAAATTTTTGAAATGTTTCCCAAACATATTTATCCAAATCAATATGCCCAAAGCAATTTTGTAACAAAAAGGGAGACCAGAAATGAAATTTTGAAATTGAAACTCACCACTCTAGTGATTTTTATATTCAAATGAGGCATCTCCATGAAAATTCATTTAAGTTGCTAGTCGATGAAATTTGAGCACAGTCGAAACATGGCAAGTTCAGAATGTAGACTGTGTAAACGCAAAAAATTGATCAAAAACTACCAAATCATAGGTTAGCACAAAAAAAACAATAAATTCTTGAAAATGAGCAATATTTGGTTTCTATTTGCGTTTTCTTCAGTTTTTTTTTGAAATCAACTTCTGTCTATCGAGGTTTTTTTCAGCTGTTTTTTTTGTTCGGTTGAACTTCTGCAAACGTTAGGATTTGAAAATTTATCAATTTTAGCGTAACAAAATTTCACATTCAACTGGCAATAATTTGAGTTTTCTCATTCAACTGGCAATAATTTGAGAAATTTTGCAAACTTTGCCATTTCTTCAAAAGTCGGAACAACTTTTCACATAAATTACTACCCATTCAGAGAAAAAGGATAGAACTTGCTGAAAAGGGTTTGCCACCCACTAGGATTGCCTGAGGGTAGAATATATGAACGGTGAGGAAGAGGTTCGGCCCCTCTCTTGTATCCCCCTTTGCGTTTTTTTACGACGTCCATTTTCGGCCAACCGTTCTAAAATCCCGAAATTTCTATGACAAGCATT